GACACAGTACTACTCTCACCAACCTTTTAAAAAGATCATTCCACCCTCCAGATTCTGGCCCAGAATCTGTTTAAAAGCTCTAGGGTTGATCCTATTAAGCAAGGGTTAAGAATAACAGCACCTAGCTCAAAAAAAGCCCACCCTGCAGTAGCATATATTTTTCTCTGTTTAAGCAAAATACTACCTGGGGAGAAACAAATTCTACGTCCATTTGCACCTACCTCTTCTGCCCCATGCACCCTCTAATTTCGGGTTTAGAAACCATCTTATAGGGTTCTTTTTTTTTTTTTTTTTGAGATGGGTCTTGGTATGTTACCCATGCAGGTCTCAAACTCCTATGCTCAAGCAATCTCTTGCCTCAGCCTCCCAAGCAGCTGGAACTATTGGTGCCAGCCACCATGCCCCTAACCACCTTAAGGCTAATCTTTGTTACTAGCCCCCACTGCTCAAAATTGGTGAGATCTCCGTTTTTGCTTCACTCACCTTATGTGTTTTGTTCACACTGGCAGCAACGAACATCTGTGACCTGACCTACCCGCCTTTTATCTTCCCAGAATATCTAGAAAGTGCTGTTCTGTTGATAACAGGATTTGTTTTCTAGTGTTGCTATATTTGTCTTTTTTTTTTTTTTTTTTTTGCATTTTAGCAGCATTAACAAAATTTTAGAAGAAGAAAAGGGAAGAGGGCTGTTTCATCATTTCAAATCTTTTTTTCACCCTTGGTTTTTATAGAGAGCAAGGGCTATTTCTAATCAATCTGCTCATGTGCATTTTATGATTGCTACTAAGCAACAAATAGAATCAACAATCAATTCCCATTTTCCCTAAAAAAGAGGAATCCTTTCTTTCTGAATCCAAGATAACATTGTCAATGGTAATATTGGTTATGGGTTGTGACACGTCTTACCATCCATTTAAATTGTCATTCAGGCTCTTATTATAAATGGCAAGTAGGAGCTCTGCAAAAGCAAACATTGAGTTTGAGGGGATGGCTCTGGGAAAATATTCTGGGTTATTTCTGTCCAATTAATATTTGAGGCTAAGCTTCCATAATCTCAGATGTTATTGTCAAAATTAAGAGAACATTTCTATACTATCCACAATTCTCCATTATGCCCCTCTAAATATTGCCTTATAGTCAGGGTATAAATTCCAGCTTAGAAAACTTGTTGGCATCGGTAAGTATCTAGTGCCAGTAAAATTGCTCTTCTCCTTAGTTACACAACTACTGATGACCTATTCTCACTAGTGACTGGGGGAAAAAATCTAGAAATGAGTAGAAGGATAGTCAGTAATACTTCAACAATTTCTCAATGACTAATAAATGAATTTGGACTCTTCCCCTCATCACTTAATCCTACCCAACATTCAACGAACAAAATTTCCAGTTTGTGTATGACTGTATCTGCCCTTTTAAAAAACAGTAGTTGGCAGCCTATAAAATAAAAGGTCACTGTGTCAAAACTATGCACGCCCTTTTCTCTTCCCCCATCATGTGCATAATTTGGGAGTGGGGTGACAAAATGGGATAAATTTTAGATTAAGACAGGAAGAAAATTAAGATATTTTCTTACACATCACACATGTATATCAGAAACCATTATATAAGGATGATTTATTTACATTATGTTAGGGTGATTCAAAACATACAACATAGTTTCCTGTAACAATTTCAGATTTGTCTGTGACAGCTTGGTGCTATGAAGAAAGGAAGAAGAGTGGTTACGAGGGGAGGAAAGAGGGAGAGAATATTCTTATGGTAAATGTTGGTAAAATAAAGAGAAACAATGGATACTATCACTTAACAATATAAAAACTTCCCATTGTTTTAACACAACCTGGTGGTGATAAATTTTAGGTACAGTAAATGTCAGAAAAATCAATAAAATGTTCTCATTGAAGAACTTGTAGTATGGTAATATCATTTTTCCAATTCAGAAATCTAAATACACTAGTTCAGAGCAACTAGAAAAAAATAACACGGCTTGTTACTGCCACAAAAGGAGTTAGCCAAAAGCAATAGCAAAATTATATGATTAAGTAGGCTGAATTTGAACACAGTATTCTTTAAGTAAACATCAGGAAGTAAAACACACAACCCTCTCTCCCCTCATCAAATGATTTTTTTTAAACCTAATATTGGCACCGCAATGAACAAAAGTACAAAAATCTCTTTATGACTACTCATGACAGCATAAATCATGCTTTATTTCATTTCTTCAGCATCTTTCCTTCCAACACTCATCTAGCTCCTACAGCAACTACTTTGTTGGATCAAATTAAGAAGAGTCCAGAAAAAAAAGGCTTTATATGAGTAGTCACTGGTTACTGATGTTAAGTTCTTATTCTTTATAACAGAAAATAGGTGTACATTGCTAGAGCTGAATGGCATTTGAATGGCACAGCAGTCTTCCACATGTACCAAAGTTTATTAAGAAAGCCTCGGAAACCAGATCATTCTATTATTTAAAATGTTAACAATGATATTTTTTTTTTTTTTCTGAGATGGGGTCTCACTATATCGCCCAGACTGGTCTGGAACTCCTGGGGTGAAGCAGTCCTTCCGCTTCAGCCTCCTGAGTAGCTGGGAATGCCCAGCGACAATATTCCTTTAGAAACCAAAAACAAATAAACAAATACAATCTGACATTACCATAAAATGGTTTTGCTCTAGCTCTTCTCACTGTTTTATACCTTTCCCTCCTATATTAAATTGTAAGTACTTGAGAACCTATTAAACACGGACCTTCCCAATATATTTAGGAAGGTATGATTTGTTAAGTATAAAATAGTACAGATAGTAAAATGCTAAAAGAGCCCAAGAAAATTTCCCTCAAGGGTAACTACAAAGATGCTTTTAATGCTACATTTGTCCTGCAGATGTTTACAAAACCCACTTCTCTCATTCATTCCATACTACTCATTACGCACAGACTCCTATGTGCTCCCTGAACTCATCTGAAGTAGAGAACATAGGCAATGATCTGAGTTATGATTTTCTCCATTCTCCTAAGGATGGTACATAATTAGTACCATTCCAGATGCCATGGGGAATTAGGGCTGAATTTTCTTCTGAAAACGTAATTGAGAAAGACTGTGACAGACACTAGCACACCTCCTCCTCTTTCCCCCTACCCCCAAACAACTATGATGTCAAACCCATAGTATCTGTTTTACTAATGGAAGGCAGACTTTGTCCTATATTCATTCCCACAGGGAAAAGTTATTTGAAAATACCCAACTTTACATATTTAAACCTCATGTTTCCTCTTAAGCTATGTTTTTCTCTTCAGTTGCTGTCAACCTCAGTATATAACAAGTCATCTTTTTGTAACTTTTTACTTACTTTCCATCCACAAACAACAAAAATCTTTCCAGAGATTTCTGGAAATCTCTCTTTCTGGAGATCTAGAATCTACAATTTCTAAATATTTTGCATAACATATAAAGTACATATAAATTCTGAGTTATCCTATACCTGTGAAATGATGAAAAATGAATTATTCTGTTCAAACAGGTGATAGGGATTTTGACGATCTTTGCTTGACTCTCCTAAGAGGATAAACAAATGCTAAAGAGAGATGGCTTCCAACTACAGTGAGGTTTTTGTGGTATGTGGTACGTGGAAAAGGTACATTTTACTAAGCCATAGCAAATAATTGTAAGGGAATCTTATTCCATACTATATAGATCTTTTTCATTATCCTGCAACATCATTTGAAACTGAAGATTTTTCTCCTTGCTAACACTGAGAAGCAAAAATTTGTTTAGCTTACGTAGTCACGACCTTTTTCCTCTTGAGGTAAGGGAATGATTCTAAAACAAGAACATCTGAAACAGTTGAAAAAAACTATCCCAACACATCAACACACCGGAACAGCAGTCACATTACACTCTGCTACAGACAATGGGTTGGCAAACTTTTTCGGTAAAGAGCCAGATAGTAAATATTTTAGGCTTTGCAGGCTACATACAGTCTCTGTAGCAGCTACTCTGTCATTGTAGCACAAAAGCAGCCACAGACAGTAAGGATGATGAGCATGGCTGTGTTCCCATAAAACTTTATTTATGGACACTAAACATTCACATTCATTTTCATGTATAAGTCTTTTTTTAAAAAATCATTTAAAATTATAAACACAATTCTTAGCACAAAGGCCATAAAAAGCAGGCAGTAGGCTGGATTTGGCCCACAGGCTATAGTTGGCTCTCTCTTATATAGGCTTATATGTTATGCAAAATGTTTCAAATTCCAGAGACTTTGGAGACTTTTTTTTAGATTTCTCGTTTAAAATTTATACCACACTAGCTGTCTTTCTCGATAAATACAGGAGAGAGAGAAAATAATTTTTAAGAAATACAATTCCTTATTTTAAAAAGAAAAAAAGAAAGCTGTAAGATGAATGTCACCTTTAAAATCTATAATTCAGAAACAGGTAAAACTAAAGATTAAAATTTTTATTCTATGCAATATAAAATGATGTCCATAGATTTGATACATAATTTTTTAGTTTTTACTTTAGGAAAAAGACAACAAGAAAAAAGGTTTGTAAATCTCAGTCCCTTTTATAAAAAGTTGCAACTGAAACTAGCAATCACTTCTATGTACAACCATCAACTCTGAGTATAATATGAATTATACCTGGGAATTGTAATTTACCTTGATGAGTTCTGGCTACTTTTTTAAAAATGCACAATTATATCATAGAACACTGTGGCTTCTACAATTTGTGACAATTTTGAAAAGGAAACTCCTGCCTCCATAATATAAGGAAACAAGAATACTCTTTTCCATAGTTGTCATCCAGTAGAAAAAAGTTCACAGTCCGATTTACCTTCATCAAAGGTAAAATGATTCACTGCTACATTTGCATGGATTATTTTGATCCTCAGTAGTTCCTAAACACAAAATAAATTTTGCATAAACTTTTATCTGTTTGGTTTTCCAAAGCAAAATACTAATACAAAATGTGTTAAACCGGCAGAAGTCCACCGGCTAAAGAAAAAGAATTGAATATAAAATGTTTACCAACTTTATCCTTTCTAATTTTACAACAGCTTCAAGTATTGAGGCCTAATTGGTTTCTTGTGCCTATCCATCACGAACACAACTCAATCTTCTACTTTAAAACTCCTCAGTGCCATCTTTTGGTGGGTGCTTTTTGTGGCGACGTATAAGATCAGGTCGTCCAACTTCAATCATTTGTTCTTCCCAAGATTTCATTTCATTATCATAATGAATTTTATCATCTTTAGCAAGTTGAATATATACCTGAGAAAAAGTGACACTGTTTATTTAGAAAAGACTAATTTCTGGAATGCCTCCATATATACTTTAGAAATTACATCACTATTCGACATATATAAAGTGGAACTTCAGAAAGAATGTTTTGTGAGATAAGAGCAACATGAGAAAAAGGTTAAGAGATAAAGATTTGTTATCTCTTATGAAGCTATTACAAGTTCAGATCTTGGCTTATGGGAAGGAGGCAGAAGCAGAATAGGATTGCCACTCAATACAGTGGGCACTCTAGGCTTATGAGTGATGTTTTAAATATCAATTTTATATGCAGCCAAAAACTACCAAGAGAAAAAATTCAAATTGATTCTAAGAATATTAAAATAATTTTAAAACACTTTAACTGTACTATTAATATTAGAAGGTTGCTTTCCCATGAATCAAGCTTTGCCCTAATATATTCTCTAACAGATATCCTAACTGGACACTTGAGACTAAAAACTATAATACTTACTTGCTTTTCAGAATTAGACAGATTTTTCCAGTTTTCATTTATGCTCTTCAGCTTTGCCTGTAAAACAATGTATGTTTAAGTAGCAGACATGGGAACTTCAGTAATTAAAGAAATTTCATTCCAACAACAAAAAAATCAGATATCAAGAATAACAGGCAGGCCGGGCGCGGTGGCTCACGCCTGTAATACTAGCACTCTGGGAGGCCGAGGCGGGTGGATCGCTCAAGGTCAGGAGTTCGAGACCAGTCTGAGCAAGAGTGAGACCCCGTCTCTACTAAAAATAGAAATAAATTATCTGGACAACTAAAAATATATATATAGAAAAAATTAGCCAGGCATGGTGGTGCATGCCTGTAGTCCCAGCTACTCAGGAGGCTGAGGCAGGAGGATCACTTGAGCCCAGGAGTTTGAGGTTGCTGTGAGCTAGGGGCAACAGAGCCAGACTCTGTCTCAAAAAAAAAAAAAGAATAACAGGCAAAGCCTCATCAAGTCCTAACATCTTTTCTTTCTAAACAAAAACTATTAAACTGTTAAAATTTACAAAAATGAACTGAATGAAGGTACTTATCTTTTTTGATTCAGAAATATTAAGGCATAATCTATATTCTGCCATAAACTAGCTTCAAAGAATAAGTGTTTTTATTTCTTCCCTGTCACTTCATGTTTTATTCTAAAATTGTGCTTAAGTGTTTTGGTGTAGTCATAGGAACAATAAGTCATAGGAACAATGTAACTCTCTAATTCTACTTAGCTGAACTTAGTTATGTGACCTGAAAAAAGTCAATTTATCTACCTTAGGATTGGTTCTTCATCTACAAAATTAAAGGGATAGAAAGATGCTACTTTTGCTCCTTCCTAAAACCCTATTAAAAGAATAAACAAAAATTTTTAAGGAATAAACCCAAACAAACAAAGACAAAAGGAGAAGGCATTACCAACACAAAATTTTATAAGCTAAAAAAGCAGATGGAGAAGTGGTTACTAACTCAAGTGATCCAAGACAGCTAATTTTGGCCGGGCGCGGTGGCTCACGCCTGTAATCCTAGCTCTCTGGGAGGCCAAGGCAGGCGGATTGTTTGAGCTCAGGAGTTCAAAACCAGCCTGAGCAAGAGCGAGACCCCATCTCTACCAAAAATAGAAAGAAATTAATTGGACAGCTAAAAATATATAGAAAAAATTAGCCGGGCATGGTGGCGCATGCCTGTAGTCCCAGCTACTCAGGAGGCTGAGGCAGGAGGATCGCTTGAGCCCAGGAGTTTGAGGTTGCTATGAGCTAGGATGACGCCACGGCACTCTAGCCCGGGCAACACAGTGAGACTCTGTCTCAAAAAAAAAAAAAAAAAGACAGCTAATTTCCAAGCTGGCAGTGAGGAAAACCTAAAAGCAACTTGATTTGCAATGTAGAATTCTCTAACAGAACAGGAACTGGCAGCACCAGATAGGTGTAAAATAGTGGTAAAGCTAAGGTTAAGCACTTAATTGACTGAAGACTGTTTAAAAAGAGGTTAAATCCTTACCATAGCAGATTTTAGGACATTTATCTCCTCCAGAGAGCAAACACTCTGTGAAAACCAGGTATAATTTAGGGCAATGGTACCATGATAAAACCAGAGCGATTAAATACAGTATCCCAGAAATAAAAAGCAAAGGCTAAAGGAAAACAGTAAAGATATGAAAATGAGAGAACTAGCTCAGAAGATCCATATACGAATAATAGCATTTCTAAAGAGTAGGAACAAAAAAAAGAGGGAGGAGGAGAAAAAAGAAGCCAGATCACACTCCAAGGACCAACAATCAAAATGTTTTTTATATATCTCAAAAGCAATACAACAAGCTAGAAGACAAGGATCAACACTTTTTAAATTTTGAAGGAACATGATCTCCAACCTAAAATTTTATGCCCAGTCTAACAAACAAATGTGAGGATAAAGACATTATAGGCACCTGTAATCTCCCATGTACCCTCACTGGGGAAGATGCTATGCTAGAATCAGAGTAAACCAAGAAAGACAACAGAAGCAAAACACCGTAAGGATGATGAAGGATGATCCTAGGATATTGGCTGTAAATAGGTACAGAAGGCAACAGCCAAACTGGAATAAACAGAGGCTTCAGATTGAAACACAGTAACTAATGCATCAAATATACTGAAAGCTGGTGAATATTGAAGAGTCTGGGGCAGAATTATTGATAAGTACAAAAAAACTCAAGCAAGCAAAAGAACCTAGACATAATCAACTTCAGAGAAAACAAGTTTTGCAGAAAAGGAAAAATAATCATAGCACATGGCATAACTCAGCTGTAAATATGGTTTACATAATCATAATAATATAAACACTCAATACTGATCTAACCAAAATTATAACTACACTGGGAAGTAGGGGAATGGGAACATGAGAATAAATGGGATGAGAGTTAAATGTTCATCTTAAATAGTGGGAAGTCATGCTTAAAATATAAGATAGACAATGCTTAAAATTGAAAAAAAAATCAAGAAGCAATAATGTAAGAATGTTATTTAGAAATACAGAGGTAAATACCACAAGAATCGGCTAAAATAGTGGAATGTGTTTCTGGGGTAAGACATACGACAGGGCAGTGAAAATTCTTATCTTTCTAACAAACCTTAAAGAATTATGTTGAATCTTTAAACAATGATGATGTATAACCAATATTTTTAAATGAATAAAAATGATATGGTCAGGTTATATTTCAACTTCCAGGGATAGGACCCAGCCATAAAGCTTCCTAGGTGATTCCAAGGTGCAGTGAGATTTGAGAAGCACAGATTTAGAAGTACTCTGTCACATACCACCTTCCTATACTGATGAGAAAACTAAATCCAAGGTTTAAATTAGTGAATGAGCAAATTCCAGATAAAAAAATAAATAGGCTTGCATTTCAGTAATGTAGAGCCATAGAAACTGAATTTAAAATCCCAAGGGGAGTAATTAAGTGAAAATATGTAGTTACGGGAGATGACTATGTCACATATACACATTATTTAATCATATGTTAAATAGGATTTGTTAAGTCAATGACAGATCTAAATAACCCCAAAGAGGCGGAGTGCCAAAAACTTTAACTCAGATAAAAAACGGTTAAGGATCTGAGCATCCACTTCTTTTACCATGTCCTCTTATACAAGGAAAGACACAATTGCCCATTTGGAGATTCTAAGAAGATAAAAAAGGAAAGACTGAGCCACAGCAATGATTAATAACCTTTTTTTCTTCTTTGGTACATTCGTATGATGACGTTCACATGTACAACACATTCCCATGTGCATAAACAAAATTTTATTAAAAGATTTAACATCAAGCAATGGGTTATACCCAATTCCCAGTAGAAAATATTGTAGCTCTACTCTCATTCTTCCCAGTAATTGTAAAACACTTAAGAACTGCTGGAGTAGCAATGTCTCCAGAAGAACTTTAACAGCCCTATAAATCTGAAAATGTTATATGGTTTCTTTTGGGTTCTTTAAGGAGACAGGATCTTGCTATGTTGTCCATGCTGGCCTCAAACTTCTGGGCTCAAGGAATCCTCTTGCCACAGCCTCCTGAGTAGCTAGGATTACAGGCACGCCGCCACGCCACCATGTCTGGCAGAAAATAAAAAAGCTGGTGCCAGGCCTGGTGGCCCACACCTGTAATCCTAGCTTTCAGGGAGGATTGCTTGAGCTCAGGAGGTCAAGACCAGCCTGAACAAAAGCAAGACCCCATCTCTACTAAAAACAGAAAAAATTTAGCCAGGTTTGATGGCACATGCCTGTAGTCCCAGCTACTTGGGAGGCTGAGGCAGGAGGACCATTTGAGCCCAGGAGCTGGAGGTTGCTGTGAGCCAGGCTGACGCCAGGGAACTCTAGCATGGGCAACAGAGCAAGACTCTGTCTCAAAAAAAAATCTGGCAGTGTATGTATGTATTGGCAACTACATACTCTAATTGTATGTGGTAGGAAAAAGGATTTTTCTTTAAAGAGATCCAATAAAGAGGGCCTTATCAAAAGAGTTTAATGTGTTTAATGCACCACTTTTCTTCACCACCTGACATATGGCACCCTAGAATTCCCTATCTAAATAATTTTTTAAATTAAAGTAAACAAAATGCAGTTCAGTTTTACCTGTGATGAACTATCCTTAGCTTCTTGGAAGCTTTCAGATACAAAAATGTTATAAGCTGAGCGAGGTCTTTTCGGTTTTCCAAGCATTGTTAACTCCTGAATAACAAAAATAGAAGGATCACATATAGTTTTAACCTCTATGAAACTTAATCTCACCTAGAGAAACTTTATTTGTTATACATTACAGAATGTTCCTTAAAGCGAATGCTATGATTCTTATATAATGTATGTGATTATTATATCTTAGGGTCAGAATTTTTTGATAGCACTAAGTTTTAAAAGTTATAGATTTCTTATTTCCCATACACAAACATATTATTTTCATGGTCTCCATGAATAACTAAATACGTATTTACAAAACATTTTTTTGTTTTTTTTTTTTTTTGAGACAGAGTCTCACTCTGTTGCCCGGGCTAGAGTGCCGTGGCATCAGCCTAGCTCACAGCAACCTCAAACTCCTGGGCTCAAGTGATCCTACTGCCTCAGCCTCCCGAGTAGCTGGGACTACAGGCATGCGCCACCATGCCCGGCTAATTTTTTCTATATAGATTTTTAGTTGTCCAAATAATTTCTTTCTATTTTTAGTAGAGACGAGGTCTCGCTCTTGCTCAGGCTGGTCTCGAACTCCTGAGCTCAAACGATCCACCCGCCTCGGCCTCCCAGAGTGCTAGGATTACAGGCGTGAACCACCGTGCCCAGCCTACAAGACATTTTTAAAAGATAAAATAATCCCAGTTTCACCCTTTCAGTACACTACCATCCCTTTGGCCAAATCACTCACTATATGCCTCTACCACAGCTCATATACTGGACTATCTGTTTAATAATCTCTCCTCTCATTTCCTTCCCTGAATGGCTCAATCTTTAAAGCTCAATAGATGTGTTAAATTCAATTCTTTTTTTCACTAGGTACTAAAAGGGAAGAAGAACCTATGAAAAGAATACAAACACCTCTTACTATCTAAATCGGTTTACTTCCTGAGTGCAGAAAGTGAGGGATAATGCATTACTCTATTTAGTTTCTGAATTTGGATGGTAAGCAGTACTTGTAATTTATAAAATTTTGTGGCTCTTAAAGGCAATTTGGTTATGATCAATAACAAATCCAACTATTATTCATAAGTAAAAGTACGGCTCCTATGATTGACATCTAGAGATCACTTTCTTCTTTCTGAATCTCTCAGTCACTTAGTATTGAAACTATTGCAGGTTCCAGGCACTTTACAACTTAATTATGTTCCCCTTTGTGTTTGGAGCTACTGCCAGGGATTTCTCTCCTAAGCACTTCACTTGCAACTTCTGGTCCCCACATTTCTCACCTAATCTCTGAACTAGTTGGCACTGGGAGTCTTTAATGGGAAAAACATTTCCAAAAGGGGATGAGACCGGAAAGGGAAACCCTTATATCTGCTCAATCGTCATTTCTGGTCCTCCCCATTCTTAGCACAGGCTGGGTGCTTTAAGGAGGAAAGGAGAGTAAAAGGGAGAGAATATACTTTAGCAAACACCTTTCCAAATACCATTCTCATGCAGACATTATTTCTCACTCTCAGGATCTCTTCCAGCTCTCTTTTACTAATTGGATGAGCAGCGCCAGATTATCAGTTTAAAACATCAAGGTCAAGGAGGTGCCTTGGTATCTCACATTCAAGGCTGGAATCTGCTTTTTCAGAGAAATAGTTTTAACTCTGACGATCACTTTTTAATAGTATATGTACTGGGCCAGAAAGCTGACCCACCTCACACCTAATACTGGTTCTATAGAAAAATATAGTCTAACTTTCAAACAATGGCATTTATACGGATTAATACTTTAAACTGGGAACTACAAATTTTGAACCATGTACGGTTTCTTAATAATAATTTCTTTGAAGAAAAATAGAATTTCATCCTAAAGGCACTTATTTGCTTAGATAAACTGGCACTTTTCCCTAATGTGTTAATGAATTAATTCAGTCTATTTAGCAATATTCAGTATCAAACTCACCATTACCTACAGAACAATTCAAATTAATAGGTTATTCTAGACAAGACGCAGAAACAAAGATTCTTGCTATTCCCAGTTTGCTTATTTCTTAACTCTGTTCCTGTAGCTGTCATGCCAGTCCTACTAACTATATATCTTACATTTGGATACACCTGAAAGTAACACTAACGAATTCCAAGACAGACTGAATGGCAAGTGTCCTCCTGGTGGCTATCCCATTTTTCCCTGACTGGAGTCCACCTGATAACATTCTACCATATCATATCTACACATTATCATCAATATAAGGGAAAACTACCTATATCTATAATTATACAAATTTCAGTTCTTTGCCGTAGGAAAAGAGTATTACAATAATACTCACTCTCTTTTTTATTAATGATTTCTTTTTTAAACGTTTTTGAATGATTTCTTTTTCCAAAGATACCATCTGACTTGGAGTTAGTTGCTCCTGAATTCTGTTTACCTCTTCTTTGTATGCCTGCCAGTCTGCCCTGTAAGCATCTTCATATATCTATAAATATAAAACCCAAATAAGAAGTCAATAAACTGTTGCCAGTAAATTCAACATAGCACATATGCCAGGGAAAGACAACTGCATGACTTCGGATTAAATCATCATGTGGAACATGTGCTCTGGGATGTGATGTAAGTGGATTAAAAACACGGATTTTTCATATATCTGCTAACCAAGGTAAGAGTCCGGCAATTAGCCTCCATTTTCAAATTGGTGCCAACTCTTTACCCCCACCCCCATGTATCCATATTCTCATCGTTTATGTGGATCAGAAGGTATAAAGTTCCCTTGTACATAACGGATATTAAAAAAAGTCTGGGTCATCTGGTCCTTTAAAGGATACGACAATTGTTCCGAACTGCAGAATAACTGGTCAGAGGTGTGGAAAACTTATATGCTTACTTTTTTCTCTGATTCAGGAAGTTCCCTCCATACTTCAGCAATTTTTTTAATTAGTTCTTTATTTTTCGCATCTTTGGATTGGAATAAAATGAAAAAAGATGTCACAATTTTATGTCTTAGGATTAATTTCTAAAGACTTCCAAGAAAGCACAATCTATACCACATATAACTTAACACAATGATTTAACTTTTCTTTATCCAACTAATTTAAATATGATAAATAATTTATCCAACATTGTTAAAAGTCATTATCTAATAACTAAGGAATAGATCACATAACCACCAAAAACTATCCTCAGAAATTAATAGTTTAAGCAGCTGGGTAATCAATTGCTTCAAGTTTTTTACTTCCATATTTCATTCAAAGCTTTTTTAAAGTCTTTGAGGAATCATTAAGTTCATAAAACCTGACTAAACAAAATATAGCCTTGATTCACATAATACCACCTTGTATTTCAATTACAGAGATACCATTTAGAAACAAACTATTCTAAAATGAATCCATTATTCTCCATTTCCTTCCTCATCTCAACTGGAATGATGGAGTGTCACTGATTTACACCTGCTAGCCTCAACTCTTACATTTAAAAAGAAGTGGGTACTTAAGCAAGTCTCTGAAACTAATTCCTTATCTACATTGTGAGCATTTTTATTGTAGCACATTTGATTTTCACAAGAGCCCTGTGATGCACTGCATGTAAAGGAGCCCTACAAATCATAAGCAAAGATTAGCTATTATTAATTTAGCTATTACCTTTACACTATAACCCAAAATAAAGGCCCTACAGCCTTTCTAGGGAGTCAACAAACATCCTACCCAGAAATCTTTTACTCAGGAACTCAAGACAAGAAAGGATTTTCACTGAAAGCTATCATTTTACATAAAGCTCTTGAAATTAGCAATAATTTGATAAAGCTTTACAGTTTATAGAACACTTTCACATAGTTATTATATTTCATTACAACTTTATTAACAATTCCCTGAGGATGAAGGAGGAGCTAAACAAGAAAGAAAATAATTCATCAGTGGAACTAGGCAACTAGGCCCAAATTCAGCTTTTTCAATCCTCTTACCAGGGTCTTTTCCACTATTTTCACGCTATTTCTAAAATACCTTTCATTAGTTCTCACTTATATTTAAAGTATTTCCATTTGGTATAAAATGTTATCTTCCTTACTTTACGGACCATGAAGCAAAATAAATGATTGTTCTTGCAGTCACTGGATGCTCTGGTAGTGCAAATCAAATTTGGCATTTAACTGCTTAGAGGGCTTTTCATTACATCAGAGAAGAGTACAAGCCCCCAAACTCCTTACCTGGGTTCCGAGCTTTATATATGGGTAGCTGTTCTTTAGAAAATCGAAGGTATGAAGTCAAAGGTTTCTTTGGATAACTAGCCAAGGCGGATGAAAACCATTTCGGTACATACACAAAACTACATATAAACAAAAAGAAAATAAATAACTGTCAAGTATTGAACTGTCAATATTCACATGTACATGAACACAGAGCCCAAATAAGATTTCATCAAGATATCTGACACCTTCGACGAGAATGTTAATGACTTAAAACCCTGTCCTAACCAGAGGGGAACAGCCTCTACCTGAAGTCTCAAAACCCTTACCTCCCACGGAGGGCAGAAGGTGGAGGAAAGCGTCTATATATGAGCTCCTGGGCCCCGCCTCCTCCATACCTAGACAATGACTAGAGACTCGGCGAAGAAGGGTGATTCAAGGCTGGACACTGGGGAGGGGGGGCAAGGGGGTGGGAGATGGCAGGAAGCAAAGTACGGGGTACTTATAGAGTAAGGCCTGATCTCAAAGCCACCATCCCCTTGGCAAGGTCGAGGTCTGAATCAAAGGGCCAGGGTAGCTCTGAACTCCTAAGGGGCAGAAAGTGGAGGACAGCGTGTACATTCCAGCCCCTGGACGTCCTGGGCCCTGCCGCTCCCTGAGGCCGGGGTGGGCGGTCCTACCTGAAGGGTGAGCGCAGGCGACTTCCACAGCCAGCGCACAGCTCCGCTCCGGACCTCCCCAGGGCACTCAGCACGCCCCACACGCTCCGGAGAAGCGCCATCGCACCGCCGGTCAAGGCAGTGACCGAGCCCCAATCTCGTGGAGCCTCCTGGCACAACAGAACAATCCCAACAATGAAAACTCGAACCCGCGTGCGACTCTTCGGAATTTGTTATCATGCCCGCCACTGCGAGGCACTATGGGAAATCGGTTATCATCCGGGTGGTAGACAGGGGGCGGGGCAGAGCAGAATTGGCGCAGGCGCCGTAGTGAGCCCCCGTAGGCGGGACTGCGAGGGAGGAGGACCGCCGGAGCGGTGATGGGAAACTGTCTCCCACTCGCTCTGGCCTCGAGGGGGCGCTGCTGAGCCGCCTCTGCCTGCGGCCGCCCCCCCGCTGATGGTTCCTCACCCGCGCCAGGAGACTGACTGGGGTGCCGCAGCGGCCTCACCTCGAGCGAGCGCTGGCGGGCGTCGGCCGGTGACGGCCGGAAGGGCTGTACGTAACAGACAGTCTTACAACCAAGACACGGGACAGCTGTGCAGCCCGCGCGCCCGGAGGAGCCCCTCTGTTCAAGCCAGGGCCAGAGTTCAGAGTTCAGAAATAGTGCCAAGACAGCAGGGGAGTCCCAGACCTAAAAATGCAGATTCCGGGGCCTTGCTGCAGAGCCTCACTCAGTATGTCTGTGTGGGGCCCATGAATCTGCGTTTTTAGCAAGTTCCTCAAAGTTTAACATGTTCTAACTCTGGTCGTTTGGGGATCACATTTAAAGTAATATGAATTTAGACTGTTCTCCCATCTTGCACGGTCTTCAAGTCTGACCTCCAACCCTGCTTAATTTGAACGGAGGAGACTTTGGCTAGTTGTCCGCAGGCTCTAGTTCTAGTCTAGCTCTAGTCCCAGTTCTAGTCCTAGCATTAACATTGACTTCTTTCTCTAAGATTCAGTTTCCCCCTGTGCAAATGAGGATATTGGACTAGGTCAGAGTTTTCCCAACCAAAGCCCGGAGAATGTGTGACAAGTATGCCCTGAGCTATTCGTTGATGTGTTGTACAATTTTTGATTGGTGTTGTAGAAATACCATTTTCTGTACAGGCAATGGCATGAAAAAGATTAGGAAGACCTAAAGATATCTAAGGGCCTTCCAGCTTTTAAATACCGTTGTTTCAAATATAACCACTTCTTGAGACAGTCTTTCTTCTGTTGGATAGCTGTAATTGTTCGAAAATTCTTACCAGTGTAATACACTGTTCTGAGAGTCTACTGCCTTTCTGTAGCTTTGAAAAGATTGGCCCTTAGGAACTACAAAAGACTAAGCCCACCTCTTCTTTTAAGTGGTAAGTAATAATCACCACTTCCCTTATCATAAACAGGACCTTCCAGATCATCTGTTCAAACCTCCCATTCAATCATGGAAGAAACAGGTTTTTTTGCTGAGTAAATACTATGTAAAAGGTTCCAAACGTAAGGAGATAAAAGACAGTATCATGTCCACCCGCCATCTCTCCTCCCCTCAGGTGAGGCAAGAAGTAAACCATTACAACAGGGTGCTAAGATAGAGGTTACATTTAAGGTGATATCTAAAATGATTTGGTTCCTCTCTATTTTTCTAGAATGTTTTTGTTCTTTCAGATGTTTGACAGTTAAACTTCTTTTGGATATTTAAAAAATCCTTTTTGGTTGTTTCCAACTGATTTCAATAAATCTTGCTGTAAAAGTTTTACCAAATCTATAACATTTCTGTTTGCATCAGATAACAATCTTCCTTCATTTACATTAGTTATAGTTTTATTCTAAATGCAGTATTTACAAAGACAATATAACTATACCTACTTATTCAAACTGTCCTTGAAATAAAAAGACATATGGTTTCATTTGTATTGACTTTAAAAAACATGAAGACTTACTACAGCCTTCTCAGGGTTCTGACCTTTTGTTTTAAAAATTCATCCACTCCCATGACTTCAACTATCAGTTATATCCTCATGATTCCCATATTACATATTGAATCCAGATCTCTCCTTTTAGTTGCATATCTGTATAACCACTGTCTTCTGGACATTTTCACCATCATGTCCTACAGGTACTTCAATTTCAACATTCCCTAAATAAAATTTACTATCTTCCCCCTACCTTGAACTCTTCTTCTTGTTAAGAGGCACCAGTTTCCCACTTCAATCATCCAAGCCAGTAACTTGGTATGTCCTTTTGGAAGCTTCTCCATTGACGCTCCACCCCCATCAACCAACTGATAATGAATATTGCTGATTCTACCTCACTAATCCCTCTCATATGTAGTCCCATCTCTCCAGCCCCACTGCTGTTGCTTTTGTTCAGGCCAATGATATGCTGGTAAATCAGCTTTCCGAAGAAGAAAGCCCTAATCTGTAGTGTTTGCCAAGTTCTATGGTGTAAATACTCCCACCATGGCTGATTTCAAGCTACCAGCTTGAAGTCACTGAACCTGAAATTAGGAAGAGATGAACATAGTCGGCTCTCCAAGCCAGTACTGGCTGGCCCCTGTTGCCACTGGTTCAGGCTCAGACATCTTTCCCCAAACTCTTAGAGTAATTTTCCTATTTTCAGTCTTTCTTCCACAGTCACCAGTTCAATCCTTCTAAAAGGCAAATCCCGTTCATTAATTTATTCATCGAGTGTGTACTGAGCACCAACTCTATGCCAGGCAGGCAATGATCACATGTCTGTACTTGAAACCTTCAATGGCCCCTGATTACTCCCAGAAGCAAGTTCATTTCTCACATATGGCATACAAATCCTCCACGAACTGGTCTTTTTGTTTCCTCTGTAGCTTCACCTTTTCTTGAAATAATTTATGACTAAAATACCCATTTCTTCTTCTGATTTAATAGATTCATCAAACCACTACATTTGGCTCTGAGTTTACCATTGCTTTTTGTGTGATATGCCAGTGTAATGGAAATTACTGGGTAATAATATAGGCTTAGCAGTAAGACAGATCTGGGTTCAAATTCTGCTCTTGTTAAGATGAAAATGAAAATGAAATGAAATGAAATGAAAATCTTTTTGACCCAGAGCTTTCCTTTCTGTAAAATGAGGACAATAATGGTTGATTCTTAGGATTGTTGTGAAGATTAAATTATACATTATACAAAAAGTTCTTAGCATAGTCCCTGGAACATAGTAAAGGCTCAATAAATAGTGGCTATTCTTGGCTGGGTGTGGTGGCTCACACTTAGCATTCTGGGAGGCTGAGGCAGGAGGATCCCTTGAGCCCAGGAGTCTGAGGTTGCCGTGAGCTAGGCTGATGCCACGGCACTATAGCCTGGGTGACCGAGCAAGACTCCAGCTAAAAAAAAAATAGTGGCTATTCTTATCCTTATATTTTCATAACAATTATTATTAGCTTCTAAATATAATAATTAAATAATTATAGAATATCCTCAAATGGAAAAGTCAGACTTTCATCACATCCCTGTCATTGCTTTTTTTTTTTTTTTGTCATTCTGTCCCTATTAAATAGCCTACATACATACCTATAGGTAACCAGCACTGCTCCTCTTTTCCTATTAAACTTGTTTTTTTTTTTTTTTTTTTGAGACAGGGTTTTGCTCTGTCACTGCAGCCTCAAACTCCTGGGCTTGAGTAATCCTGCCTCAGCCTCCCAAGTAGCTAGCACTACAGGCTGCACCACCACACTTGGCTGATTTTTAAAAAAAAAAATTTGTAGAGAAGGAGTCTTACTATGTTGCCCAGCCTGTTCCTGAACTCCTGGCCTCAAGCAATCCTCCCTCTTTGGCCTCCCAAAGTGCTGGGATTATAGGTATGAGCCACTGTGTCCATCCCCTATTGAGCTTTTAACATTTCTTAAATTAGTAATATCTGGCAGAAACGTGGTAGTTGATGAAAAATTAAAACAACGCACCCTTAAATTGGATTGCACTTTAATGTTTTCAGAATATTTTTATATAATTTTGATTGTATGATTCACACATCAAACACAAAGACAAAGAAGGTATTGTCATGATTATTGATTGCCTCCAATGGCCAGATGAGAAAAATGAAGCACACCACAACTTAGCACACCACATCATTCCAGCCCAAAATATCTTCCTTGGATCTTCTACAATGTGTGAGCTTGTATCACTTACTTGTGACTTATCATATACCACTCTGGTTTCTAATCTTTATTCTGTGTATACATTTTTTTCCCCTCACTACATATGAGTTACTTGAGGACAGGGCTTCCTTTTATGTCCTGTAGTACTTAACACAGAACATTGAGCATGATAGACAGACGGATGGACGGATGTATGAGTGGACTGATAGGTAGATAGATAATGTGAAAAGATTAGCATCTGCACAAATTGTTTATACACAAATTTGGCCCCCTAGATAACAACTACCTGTTAGAAGTGTCATTTGCTGATAGAAGGGATAGTTATGTGTGGAGGTGGGAACCAAGTAAAATTTTGGAATATACACATGAAAGTAATTGTGGTTCATTGATACTTGCATATTGGTAAAGCAGAAGGTAGTACCAATAAATAGCAACAGCAGCCAGAGGCCTGGATAATTCCCTGCTGAATAATAGAGTTAGTTGCATGATTATCACTCAAATGAAGACAGAATATTGCTTAAAGAAAAGCAGTCTTGCTTTTGTCATTATAATAAATAATTTAGCTAAAATAGGAGCAATTAATAGATTTAGCACATAAGTAGATATGATTCTGAATGTATAAGTAAATATATTTCTGGAAATGAGATCATGTTGTAAGCACTACATTTAAAGATCATTTGCTCATCAGCAATTATATAGTACTGTGACAAGCACTAGAAGGAGCTCGAAAAGAATAAGACATTGTTCCTGTCCCATTGAGGTTCACACCGATTGGGGGAACAAAGTACAAACACACAAAAATTATAAAAGTATAACAATTCATTGCAGCAACACAAGAAAATTTTTTACAATTTGAATATCTTCTAGCTTATTTTTCCATAAATCAAGATTTTAATAAATTATAAGTATAGAAAACTGCATGTATAATTTTTTTCTTTCAAACCATTTTCATTCACTTAGGCTTTATTTTCACATCACCAGAGTTTGGCTTTAAAATCAGTATACAAAAGGAAGGAAGGGAGAGATAAATAGAGAGAAATTAGAAGAAAGATCTATTGCATGATAATAGTTCCCAGCTATCTAAATTAGTTTATGAATTATTTCTCAA